TCAGTTTACTTACAAGTTATTTATCAACTAATGAAAGCAGGATAAAAATCAAATAAATAAATAGAGTATAGGTAGTCCTCAAATTATGACCAGTTACTTAATGACCATTCAGAGTTATGACAGAGCCCACTCCCAAAAGCTATTTACGACCTGGTTCTGAAGTTCTAACATCCAATCCCCCATCTTCCACTCCTGTCTGACTGGATTTTGGGTGCTCAGCAACCAGCCTGCATTTATGGCTATTTGTAGTGACCTGCACTCATACGACTGCAATTTACAATGTATTTGCCACAAACCAGCATTTACTTCTAGTTTCCAGCAAAGAACACTCCGCAGCGAACAATGGGTTTGCTTAACAAAGCAGTGTAAACGATCGCCACAAAAAGGTCATAAAATCAGGTCCAAACCTGATGTAGTGACTCATTTTACGACTGTCATGGCTTACAACCGTAATTGCTGGCTCAATTATGGTCATAACTCAAGGACTACCTGTAACAGTGGTGGAATTCAAACTTTTTTTACTACCAGTTCTGTGGGTGTGGCTTGGTGACCATGGTGTGGCTTGGTGGGTGTGGCAGGGGAAGGATACTGCAAAATCTCCATTCGCACCCCACTCCAGAGGAAGGATACTGCAAAATCTCCATTCCCACCCCACTCTGGGGCCAGCCAGAGATGGCATTTGCCGGTTCTCCGAACTACTCAAAATTTCCGCTACCGGTTCTCCAGAACCTGTCAGAACCTGCTGAATTTCTCCCCTGACCTGTAACCAGGGGAACAATTTGGCAGTGTCAGAATTAAAGACAAGCAAACAACATTACCTATACTCCTGATTAAATGTAAAAGGCCATCCAAGGGCTGAGTGAATTTGAATTCACTCCCAGAATGCCTTTGCTCCATAAACACACAGAGCACAGATCAGTAATGAGAGTTTGCTAATGGATTGGCTTAAGTATAGGACAACATCCCATCACTGTTCCAGAAAACAATCAATCAAGCACTTAATTTTAAGTGTAAAAACTAAGCTGCCTAGAGACTGTTAATAGATAACCAAATAAATTAACAGTTGTGGGTGGGTTTTCATTGGAAGCAAGGTCAAATTGCTTCCTATCACAAACACACACACATACATACCCCTGCTTGCCATCTTTTTTTTTTTTAAAGCTCTTTTTTGAATGCTGTCCTTGGGGTGAAGCTGATTTTTGATAAGAGGCTAGGGAAACTGGGTGGGGCTTCCTTTTCCAGAGAGTTCCTCTTGACAGGTGTACAAAAGCCAGAAATTTAGGAATAGGGGAGCAGTTTCCCAGAAAAAAGATCTCCTTTGCTCATCTCTTATCACTTTCCCATGCTGGCTTCAACTTCAAGGCAGGGGTGGGATTCAGCCGGTTCGGGAAAACTGGTAGCTTTGACGATCAGCTGAGAGCGAACCGGTTTGCTCCGACGATCAGCTGGACCCATCCACCTGCCCCAGTGCTATATCGACCTATATTTCCTTTGTTTGAAGCCCAGCTGATAGGTGTGGCAGAGCGGATTGCCGCACCCCAGCTGTTTTACTCACTGGGGCTGCAGTAGAAGGTAAGTTTTAGAGCTGATTCCAAACACACTGCGAGTGCGTGCACTCAGTGAACCGGTTGTTACACCGGTTGAATCCCATCACTGCTTCAAGGGGATGTCAGAAAGTTTGATAAGGTGGTTGGACACAAAGGGAGAAAAGCTTAGCAGCAGCTGTACAAGAGAAGAGATTTTAGCAGGGGCCACCAGCTGAAATTCTCTCTTCTCTACAGCTGTCACTGCTGCATTGAAGCACTCACATTTTAAGGGCAAGGTCTCAAACTCAGATCCTCTCATTGCCTCATGAGGACTAGTTCCTTAGCCTAAGGGGCTTCAACAAAGTACTCAGTGGTGGGTTTCAAAAATTTTTACTACCGGTTCTGTGGGCATGGCTTGGTGGGTGTGGCATGGCTTGGTGGGCGTGGCAGGGGAAGGATACTGTAAACTCTCCATTCCTCCCCACTCCAGGGGAAGGATACTGTAAAATCTCCATTCCCTCCCCAATCCAGGGGAAGGATACTGTAAAATCTCCATTCCCTCCTGATCAGCTGGAACTCGGGAAGCAGAGAATAGATGGGGGCAGGGCCAGTCAGAATTTTTACTAAAGGTTCTCCGAACTACTCAAAATTCCCGCTATAGGTTCTCCAGAACTGGTCAGAACCTGCTGACTACCACCTCTGAAAGTACTGCAGTAGAAAATTATTTGGAGGGTCATGATTTCACCCCTAGAATGTATATTTTCAGTAAGATTTGGCAAGGCTACCTAGGCCTGATAGAGTACTTTGGGTGGTTGTATAATATGAAGCTACAGTCTACTTAACTGTAATTTGTTGAATAAGCCATCATCATCTGGTTCATGTTCATGCTACGTCATGAGTCAAGAGTTTATAAATCACGGCAGCATGACATGCTAAGCTGAAACCAAACAGATTGGGTGACATGCTTTAGGGGAGGGGTCTCCAACCTTGGCAACTTTTAAGCCTGGAGGACTTCAACTCCCAGAATCTTTAGGGAACCAAATGCAGTCTACTTTATTCACCCAACAAACTGAGCACACAAAGACCCTTATAATGGTAGAATCCCTACAGGAGATTCTTTCACACTCACACACATCCTGGTACAACTTAACATTTGCTTCACAGTCCAACTCCGTTGCATCTTGGAATCTTTCGAAGGTCAGAGCAGGAATGTCCTAAATGCATTAAATAATACCGTATTTTTCGGAGTATAAGACGCACCAGACTATAAGACGCACTTACCTTTTTTGGTGAGGAAAAAAGAAAAAGAAATCTGCCTCTGCCTCCCAGCAGTTTTGCCTCGTTGCAGCAAACAGCAAACAGCCAACAGCCTGCTTTACTTTCATTTTCGTTTTCAGCATAGCTTGATTAGCACAAGGAAAAAAAAAATCTGCTCCAGCAATTTACCTCCTAGCAGCAAGCAGCAGAGGCCCGAGCAAAACAGCTGAGAGTCGGGAGGCTGATCCAATCAACTGGTGCTAATTAGGCTGTGCTGAAGCTGAAAAGAGCTGTTTCTTCTTGCTGCTTGCTGCAAGGTGGTAACTGTTGGGAGGCAGAGGCCAAAGGATGGGGGCCAGTGGGTGGGCGGGGCTACATTCGGTGTATAAGATGCACCTAAATTTTCACCCCCTTTTAGGGGGGAAAAAGGTGCGTTTTATAATCCAAAAATACAGTAGCTTTGTCTCAGAGATGTTGATCTCGCTTTTGCGATCTGACAAGATCCAGCTATGAATGGTGTGAATGGGTTTTAAAGTTTTTAATGTTTAAGTGTTTTTATAATGATTTTTTGAGTATATTGTGAGCCGCCCTGGGTCTTCGGAGAGGGGCGGCATATAAATTGAATAAATAAAATAAATCCCTGGAGCCTCGGATGAACGACAATTGTTCATAATGAGTCGTAGTTCAGAGATAATATTCAAATTCAGATTCCTGCCTGCCTGCCTGTCATCAGGCCTTGAAAACCTGGTTTCCATCCATCCCCTCACTCACCCATCCCCCAGGCAGACATTGGGTGAGGAGCATTTGTGAACCCATCTGGACTGACTGTTTCAATTGCTGAATTGCTCTGAGCATAATTTATTTCACGTTTTATTATTAAAGGTGATTACTTTTTTCTAGCTTTTTGTTGTTTCAATTACAGGCCAGCCTGAGTTGTTTCTTGGCAGGGCAGCTATATAAATGGACTAAATAAACAAACATGAGAAAACTAATGCCTACTAACTTTTTTTCTTCCCTTTTTGCTGCCCAGATAAAAAAAAACCCAAAATATTTTGATAACCATTAAGATTTTTTTTTCTTCCTGAAAGCCATAGTGGGCTGCCAGCTTGGAAGTGATAAATAGATCCATAAAGCATCTCTGAAGAATAAGCTCTCATTCTTATTTACTCGAAAGAAGCTTCTATAGCTTTTTAGAAGGAAGACAAATCTGAACTTTTTAAAACAACTTTATCGTTAGGAATTAACAACCATCAGTTCCAAGCACAGCTGATATTAGAAGTGTAGTTTGTTATGTTTTTTAAAAAACTACCATATTTTTCAGAATATAAGACGCACTTTCCCCCCCCTAAAACTGAATATAGCCCCGCCCACCCACTGGCCCCCACCCTTTGGCCTCTGCCTCGCAGCAGTTACCTCCTTGCAGCAAGCAGCAAGAAGAAACAGCTCCTTTCAGCTTCAGCACAGCCTAATTAGCACAAGTTGATTGGACCGGCCTCCCGACTCTCAGCTGTTTTGTTCGGGCCTCTGCTGCTTGCTGCTAGGAGGCAAATTGCTGGAGTAGATTTTTTTTCCCTTGTGCTAATCAAGCTATGCTGAAAACAAAAATGAAAGTAAAGCAGGATGTTTGCTGTTTGCTGCAACGAGACAAAATTGCTCAGAGGCAGAGGGAGATTTCTTTTTCTTCTTTTCCTCACCAAAAAAAGGTAGGTGCATCTTATATTCCGGTGCGTCTTATACCCTGAAAAATACGGTAAGGAAGCTTAGAATGTCCTCTTGGAATGCTTCGGAGACTTTGTGATAATTTGAACAAAGGGTGATGTTTTTATCTAGATTCCCGTTCTGGATGAAACAGTAGGTCCCCAACTTACAATTGGTTGCTTATTAGTGACCTTTTGAAGTTACAACAGACCTCCCTAGGGTTAGTTATAACCCATATTTGAAGTTCCAGTGGGCCCCCCCCCCATAGTCACATGACTGCAATTTACTATATATATATATATATATATATATATATACACATATACATATACATATACATATACATATACATATACATATACATATATATATATATATATATATATATATATATATATATATATATGCTGGAAAATGGTGTTTACTGCCGGTTTCTTTCACAATACCCTTGTCCAAGGAATCCGGGGGCGGGAGGGGGGGGGGGAAGAGAATCCTTCATACAAACACCAAAAGCCCATATTTAAATTTTTCAGAAAAATAACTTTAATCTCATGACGCCTGAAAGACTAACAAACGTTATCACGTAAACTTTCATGAATTACATTCTAATGAAGTGAAGAGTTACCCTTAAACACTTCCTGCAAGAATGGCTGTATTCGCATGATATAATTTGACTAGGATACAAACAGGATTACCTGTGCTTTGCAGGTATCTACAATCCAGAGGTCTGTGTCGTTAAAGTGGGGAGCTTAAAACCCCCAAACAGACCTGGTTTGGTTTGGATTGATGTGTATTGCCAATGCCACCCCATGAGCCTTACCAAAGAAGGAACGTCATCACGCAATCAAAGATAGAGCAATTGCCCAGTTTGGTCTATTCAGTCCTCCAAGGAAAAGAGTTTGCGTTCTAAAGCAGCTAGATAATCCAAAACTTCTACGACTAAAATCACTGCCAAAGGCTTGCCAGCCGCCAATTTTCCATACCTACCGCTATTTAAAGCCTTGCCAGCTTTCCTGATACAAGGCTGATGAGATATTAGGCACTTCTGGAGGATGTAGGAAGGGATCATATTTATGATTTTAGATCATATTTATGCAGACATATTGAGAAGTCAAACGGGTTCACAAACTTTTCAGTGCCACTTTTAGTAGTGTGATCGTGTGCTGCTCATACCGTTGACAGTTAAACATAGTTTGTTGGTCTTTAAGCTAATGCAATGTTTCTCAAACTGAACCTAAAATGGATGCATGCTGGCTGGGGAATTCTGGGAGTTGAAGTCCACCCCTCTCAGTATTGTTCAGATTGAGAAACACTGAGCTAATGCAAGACCTCCTGCTATTTTCATGACAAAAGACTAATATAGCAATGCCTTAGGAAACACAACTTTGCAAACACAATTGGGAGACTGCTTCAGTTCTGCATGGTGGAAATAGGAAATGGTGATCGCGTACAAAAAGAAATATCAAATTAAAAAATATATACCTACTATTCTTTAAAAATAAAAACCAAATTATTTATCTACACACTAGATGTCAGTTGAAATTATTGGAAAACTAAAGTAGTTTCATCATCAGACTGTTATTAGTTACAAAGCTCTAATGCCAGATCTACTGTGTGTTTGCCTTAAAAGAAAAATCACACCCACCCACCAAAATGGTAGAATTTTACCAGGAAGGTTTAACTTAAATATTTTTATGACAAGTATTCTGTTTCCCCCAAAATAAGACATCTCCTGATAATAAGTCCAATCGGGCTTTTGAGCGCATGGCAATAAGGCCAAGCGCTTATTTCAGGATTCAAAAAAAATATAAGACAGGATCTTATTTTCAGGGAAACACGGTATTTTTACGAAAGGTTTTCTGCAAAGACACTCGACCTGCATCTTAGATTCAAAACCTTGGGCACAGTTCTTTTAGAACCAAGCTTCACCATTTTGAGGAAGGGTTAATTCCTGCAAAGTGAACAGATTTTCTTCAGCATCACTCTGGCAGAGCAAGGCTAGAGAACCTGTGCAAGCAACCAAAATTTTGCTCTCCTTCAGAGGCCATTGAATACGAAGAACCTCATGCATTCTGTTTAATTTTATAAAATGTGGATTTTCAGCAACTCAGAGGATGAAGCCCTTAAAATGTGGTCTTCCTTCCAATGCAAAATTCCTTAAGAGAAAACCAAAGCTGTGGGAAAAGATTTCAACGGTATCTCTTCCACGCCTGTGCGAATCTCATTTGGAGAGCAAAACGCAAACCTGAGAGGGGCAAAAGAAGGCAGAATAAATGGGCACGTTTCACAGAATCTGTATTGTCTACTTCCTGCCAATGAACCGACTGCCAGTGTACATTTTCACAATGTCTGACTAGTGAAGAAGGATTTGGTCTTTCGGCAAGTGGGATTCACACAAAGCGGGCAACTCAGTGTTAACTGCTTGGAGCACAGTTCGTTCGACTTGAGGTGTGAGCAGACCAAATCTGCCAGAGCCTGAAAAATACGAAAAAAATACATTTAAGTAAAATGATCACAATAACTTTCTAATCTGCTAGCAAACTATTCTATGAGCAAATAATAGCATGATGATGATGGTTAGTGTGATTAATATATATATATCTATACATACATACAAGTAGTTCTTGATTTACGACCGCAGTTGAGCCCAAAATTTCTGTTGCTAAGTGAGACAATTGTTAAGTGAGTTTTGCCCCATGTTATGATCTTTCTTGTCACAGTTGTTAAGTGAATCATTGCAGTTACGTTAGTAACAGGGTTGTTAAGCGAATCTGGTTTCCCCATTGACTTTGCTTGTCACAAAGTCACAAAAGGTGATCACATGATCCCAGGACACTGCAACCGTCATAAATATGAGTCAGTTGTGCCAAGCGTCCGGATTTTGATCATGTGACCATGCAATGGTCGTAAATGTGAAAAACAGCTACAAGTCACTTTTTTTTAGTGTCGTTGCAACTTTGGTCACTAAACAAATCGTTGTAAGTCAAGGACTACTGTATTTGAAATGAGGAGGGAGGGAGAACACCAAAGACCAACTAATACTTTAAAAATAAAAAAAATGCAAGAATTTGCTTTCCATCATTTTTCAGTACAATATTGCAATCATTTATTTACACCCTTGTTTTCATAATTTCTATGTTTAAGAACTCGATGAAGTAGCAAGTAGTGAGCCAAAACAAGCTCTGTCTAAGTGAGCATCCTCCAGATGTTCTGGGATTAGGAATTCTAATTACATTTCCACCATATCTGGACGGCCCCAAATTGGATTTGACTCTGACTGAGCATATGCAAGATAGGAGTGCATAAACACGAAAACGCAACCAATCCCAAAATAGGAAATGTAAATGAGAGTGAACAGTAGCCTTAGTAAGTTGAAGAAAAAAAATGGAGCAACTCTGGGAAGCTAAGATATCACTGGGCCCCATATCTGCGGCCATCAGAGCCGGCCAATCAGAGAACAGGTATGTTCTGACCCAGCTCCCCAAACACGACAAACCCTCTGAAGTGAACTCAAAGGTTCCTTTATTAGAAGCGCCAGCAACCCCGGCAAAAAAATCTCTCTCTCAACACAGGCTAACAAGTCCGGCTGGCCGGAAGATAAATAGTTGTCTTTGCCACATCTATTCATCTCCGCCACCTGCCTTTTATCCCCAGAGCTAGGGTGGGGCTTAGCTAGCAGCAGTGGTTCTTTCTTCCCAAGGATCGACCCAAGTATTTCCACTGCTCTCCTCTCCTCTGCCTTCTGCGCATCCATGCATTGGGCACTGGACCCAGCTGTTCTTCCTCTTCCTCATCAGCCACCTCCAGACCTGCGAGCTGTTGACTCTCCATCTGAGGACTGACAGATGGCTCAGGATCCGCCTCTGTCTCTCTCTCTCTCTGTCAGCTCCATTCCCTCTTCCGCCTCAGAGCTCCCAGGTTGGCCTGATGCTGACCCTGACTCCCATGCCTCCTCTTTCTCTGAGTCGGTTGGTGGAGGGGCCGGCGGCCGACAGGCCACAACATGATAGAAGACTTGCCTACTACCATGAAAACCCTATAATAGGCATATCACACTTTAGCAGAAGCATTGCAAGCTGCCAGAATTCCTCCATCTAAAAGGCCTGCTTGCATGGATAAAGTGATCCCACCCACTTGGTGATCCTCAGCCCTCCAAAAATGTTACATGTGTCCATCAAAAGAAAGCCATTCTTGCCAGAGAAACAGGAGTCTACCCTTGGTGGCTTCTCTGGAGAATCCCACATTTCTCCCTCTCTGAGGGAGATGGACGGTTCAGAAATGTGAAAAATAAATAAAATAAAAATTTTCTCAGAGAAATAGGGAACTGGTACCTTGGCGAACAATGGATTTCCATTCAAGGATTCTGCTCTTCTGATATTTTCAACTCCACACTGAAGAATAAAGAGAAGGAAAACAGTTGAGCCACAGGATCCTATTGGTTTTTGGCTAAAGCAATAGGAATGGAATTGGAGCTCAATTCAATTCATTTTCACAGGCACAAAAAAAGCAGTTTTCCCATATTTTGTTCTCACTTATTTATTTATTCGATTTCTATAGCCACCCAGAGTCATTTGCTATGGGTGGCTATAGATATTGAAGACATAAAATAAAATAAATAATAAAATAAAATAAAATAATAATAAAATAATAAAATAAAATCTCTCTTCACAGTCGTCCTCCTAAGTCCCTCTTCACAGTTCAACTTTATTTATTTATTTACCGTGTTTCCCCGAAAATGAGACCCTGTCTTATATTTTTTTGAACCCTGAAATAAGCGCTTGGCCTTATTGCCATGCGCTCAAAAGCCCGATTGGGCTTATTATCAGGGGATGTCTTATTTTGGGGGAAACAGGGTATTCATTTATTTATTTGTATTGAATTTATATTGCCGCCTATTCGCCCATGGTGACTCAAGGCGGCTTACAGAATAAAAGACCACATTTAAAACAATAAAAACTAACAAAAAAGAATCAAATACATTAATATAGTACAATATAACAAAATCACCTCCCCCCCATCTCCCACCCCCACCCCCCCACCCTAGCGACAGCAGATCACATGAGCCATTTAATGGGCTCCATCCCTCTCTGGGTTCCCCAGGCCCGCTGGCAGAACCAGGTCTTCAGCGCCTTCCAGAAGAGTATTAGATTGGGGGCCATTCTAATCTCTGGGGGAATGATGTTTCAGAGAGAGGGAGCCTCCACAAAGAAGGCCCTTCTTCTTGGACCCACCAGGTGTATCTTCCTTGAGGATGGGACCCGCAACATTCCCTGCCTCCCCGCTCTGATGGGTCGGGTAGATGTGACTGGCAAGAGACGGTCCCTCAGATAACCTGGTCCCAAACCATGAGATTAGAGACTAACATCAATTGTTTATCCCAATGCTTCTCAACCTTGGCAACTTTACAATATGTGGACTTCAATTCCCAGAATTCCCCAATTAACATATTGGCTGGGAAGTTCTGGGAATTGAAGTCCACATATCGTAAAGTTGTCCAGGTAAAGAAACACTGCTTAATCCTACCCAATTCACCACACACCAAAAAAACCCCAAGATTTCTTTTAACACACAAATACATAAAATATTTTCATCAATATGATTAAATGCTTCAGGTTTTTACAAGGATTAAGGAAATCTGGGTTCAAGATCATACTTAGTCATGGAAGCTCATTAAGTGACTTGAGTTTAGTGGTGCTTTTAGCTCTGAATTTCTATTCTGGGAAAAAAAACTAAAGAGAATATACTATGTATGTGACTTTGGACTCTTAAGAAAAGATGGAATAGAAATTTAAGTAACAGCAGTAGTAGTTGTAATGTAATGCTACTAATGGTAACGCTAATATCCAATCAATAGCATGGGAGTAGGATCTACAATGCCTGCAGACGCTGCCTTTGGCACCAGCCAGATTCTGTGCTCCATCCATTTTTTATCATTTTTAAAATAATGATAATGATCTAAAATTCTTAGATAATGTACACAGTGATGGGCTGTAGACCACCTGTCTACTTGGACAAGAAGCAGCCTGGGAATTAAAGTCCACATATCTTAAAATTGTCAAGGTTGAAAAACACTGCTATGTGGGCTAGAAAGGAAGGTGTAGGGCCGCCTCACTTTCTTGCCTTTGGGGAAATAGTTGTTTCCTGACTGTCTATTGTCATTCTGGCAGCCATCTGTGACTGCACAAACAATATCTCCTCAAAATTCCATCTGCCCCCATGGACTATCCCAGTGATGGCTAATCTTTTTGCCATCGCATGCCAGGAAGGGGGGGTGGGCAGGGGAGGTCCGCACGCACGCATTGCCCACACCCATAATGCTATGTGCCCCGCCTGGTGCATGTGACCCCTCCCCCCCGCTCCTGGCATGTGATGGCCCAGTAAGCCCATTTTTCTTTCTCACCTATCTAGGAGTCTCTGGAGGCTGAGGACAGCAAAAAACGTTACTTCCTGTCCAACCAGAAGTTGGAAAACGGGCTGTTTCAGGCCTCCAAGGGAGTGGGAAAGGCTGTTTTTGCCCTCCCCAGATGCATAGAGAGGATCTGGAGCCAGGTAAGAAAGAAAAATGGGCCTTCCCTCCCACCCAGGCCCTCCGGAGAAACAGCCTGTTTCCCTACTTCTGGTGGGACCAGAAGGCCCAAAAATCAGCTGGGCGCCACGCGCATGCACACTGGAGCTGAGCTGGCGTGCCAGGTGACATGGCTTTGCGTGCCACCTGTGGCACGTGTGCCATAGGTTCCCCATCCCGGGACTATCCTATTCTTCCAACAGTAGATGAACATTGGCTAGGCTGTCTTGGAATCCTGGGAGTTGTAGTTCCAACACCTTTAGAAATCACTAGGCCGAAAACCACTGAGTCAGAAATGACCCCGTATCCTCAACTCTCTGAGCCAAGGTCAAACATGCATCTCTTATCTTTCAACTTACAGCTCCTTTGTGTAATATTGCAACTGTCGAAAGGTGTGGTAAAACCCAACCTGTAATAATCCTAAACCTTGTGGGAACACTTGTTTCCTGTTAAGGAACTACAGGCAAACAGTGATGAAAAAAATAACGGCTTTACCTCATTTGCTAAGACCTGTGCATATTCAATGTCAAGCTCATAGAGTGTTTCAATGTGATCGCTGGTGAATGCAATTGGAACTAACAAAATGTTCTTCTTTCCCCTCTGGCAAAGTCCCTTTATAGTGTCATCTGTCTGAGGACCCAACCAAGCCATCGGGCCGACCTAAAACAACAAAAGAAAGAAGGAGTTTTTAGAAAGGACAATTTACTATTGTTGTGGTGGTGTTTGTTCGGAGTTGTATCTGATTCTTTGTGACCCCATGGATCACAACAGGCCACACTCCGTCTTCCACTGTCTCCTGAGTTTGCCCAAATTGATGTTCATTGCATTGATGACATTATCTAACCATCTCATCCTCTGCCGTCCCCTTCTCCTTTTGCCTTCAATCTTTCCCAACATCAAGGTCTTTCCCAGTGAGTCTCTGCTCTTTCTACTCCCCTCGCAAGACATTAGCTTCACTTCTTTCCAAATAATGGTTAGAGGCAGGTGGGAAACTCCTAGACATTCTTCTAAATTAGCTATGGACTTGTATCTGGTTCTGAATAAACCACAAGGTCTCCATTATGTCATGAGGAAGATGACAGTGGCCTAAAAACATATAGATTAGGTGAAAACCAACACAGCAAGGAAAATAATTTTAACAGAATAACAAACTTGGAAGGAACAGTGGAGAACTTCCAGTGCTCCAGGCTTTGTTGGTATTGCAAAACTATTGGTAGTCCTTGCTTAATGACCAGTCATTTAGCAACAGTTCAAAGTTACAAGTCTTCCCAAATTGACCTGGTCCAATTTAAGACTTTTTTTATATATATATTTTGCCAGTTTCATTTCAGCCAGTTTCCAGCAAAAAAAAAAAAAAAAAAAGCACCCACAGAAATAAGTGGATTCACTTTATGACTGTGGCATTTATGATTATGGTGTTCGCTTAACAACCCCCACAAAAAGTCAATTTATGACTGTCATGACTTACGAGAGAAAATCCAGACTCCATTATGATCGTATATCGAGGATTATCTCATAACGCAAAAGTTTGACACAGGAGAATATGCTTTATAAGAAAGAAGGATCCCAAATAATGAAAAAGCAAGGATTTGTATAGAAGTTGAGGGCTACACAGTTGAAAATCCTAGAGATCTGATTTGCTGGCCATGGGGAAGCTACACAGTGTAGAAGAGCTGGCAGAGTGGGGGAGAGGGAGTTAAAAATGTCATCGGAATGGAGTGGAGTGGAATGGAATGGAACGGAACAGAACAGAACAGAACAGTTGGAAGGGACCTTGGTAGTCTTCTAGTCCAACCCTCCTCAAGACTGGGATGGGGAGGGAAGATGAAGTCTCCATTTTGTTAGATTTTTCTCAACTACAAAGGAACCTTCTTTAAATCAAGCTGAATTCCTGACAATTTAATGGGCACGTCCATAGAGTTTTCTTGAGATTTTTCAACCGCATTTTTTTCTAGGAAACATTTGTGAACTAGCCTCCAGTTTTGGAATTCTCCACTAAGACTCTCCCATCCAATTATTACTTGACACCGCTTAGTTTGGAGCCCAGACAAGGGCACTCCGGGGCCTACTAAGATAGAGTCAACTTTGTGGACACGTTCTTGCAGTTTCTTGATAGCAAAAGATAAATGGTGTCCTTTCATTCTTCTATGATATTTTTAAATTTCCTAGTCTAGCCTGCAACCCTAGTATTTCCTCGGTAATCTCTTATACAAGTACTTAACCGGCCATCACCATCCTTAACTTCTTCTGTGCCCAACAGCTGAAACAGAAGCTTATCATATTTGACTGATGTATAATACCAGAACATGGAGAAATTTTCTGACAGTGCGAACAATCAACCAGTGGAACAGAAGTTGCCTTTGGGAGCTTCATCACTTGAGACTTTCAAGAAGAGATTGGACTGCCATTTGTCAGAAATGATGTAGGGTCTCCTGCTTGGGCGGGGGGGGGACTAGATGACCTACAACCATGATGGCAAACCTATGGCACGTCTGCCACAGGTGGCACGCAGTGCTCTCTCTGTGGGCACGTGAGCCGACGCCCCAGTTCAGCTCTGCCACGCATGCTCGCATGCCTCCTGCTGGCCGGCTGGTCGTTGGGTCTCTGCCTCATATGCGTGGGGGTGGGATGCGTGCAGGGAGGGCATGCGTAGGGATGGGGCGCATGCATTGGGATGGAGCGCATGCGCAGGGACCGCACACGCATTGCATTTTGGGGATTCGCGCGCACGTGCGCTTTGGGCACTCTGCCTGGAAAAGGTTAGCCATCACTGACCTACAAGGTCCCTTCCAACTTTGTTAATCTGTTTAATCTGAACATACTTTATAACAATTGGCAGATGAAGCCAAAGCCAGACTCAGACTGAATAAGCCCCAAACAAATTCAATGATGGGGAAGCATTTTACCAGAGTTCCCTGGGATGACCTACCTTGGACTGCCACACAAGCCTATATGGATTACAATGGCCGAGTTTCTCCATCACCTTTTGAACAGTAGCTCCCACTTCTTGTGGATATGGGTCACCACGATTAACTACCTGCAGCACAAGAAACAAGAAAGAAGACAAGCAATTTTTCTGAAAGAAGAAAAGCACTTATTCAATTAAAGTGAAGACCTTAAATGATTTTCTAGTCTTGAGCCGCCAAAGTCCCTTAAGCTTTATGATTTTCACATGTGTAAAAAGTTAATATTCATTTCTTTTTTTATTTGTTTTATTATATAAAATACAAAGAAAAATAAAATAGGAAATTAAGGGAAGGAAAAGGAGTGGGGAAAGGGGTGTGTGAGATACAAGGGGGAAAAAGAAAAGAAAAGGAAAGGAAAGGAAAGGAAAGGAAAGGAAAGGAAAGGAAAGGAAAGGAAAGAAAAGAAAAGATAAAAAAAGGCAGACTTCCGACTCTTCTTAGCACAGTACAAGATAAAACCATTCCAACCTCAACTTTTTGCTTTTACACATTAACATATAACTAGCCATTTCTATAACGACAAATCTTTCTGATCAACAAAACCAATTTTTCATTTTTTTTTTCCATCACAAGCACAAAATCCAGAAGTGGTAGCCAAATCAGAATATATTTTCCCCTTTGAATAAAATAATCAATTTAACCATTCCTGCTTTATCTTCCTTGCTATGGAAATAGTATGTATTTCTATTTGCACCTAATAATCTTTCTGAACTGTCACCATTTATATTAACAAGATTCATTGTATTCTTTCAATTTGTTTGACCTTACTGAAGAAGAAAAAAACCCCTTTTTTCACCCTTTTTAAAAAAGTGCTAAACTTTTTTAAAAACTTTTTTTAAAGTCGAAACTTTCCAATGTTTAAAATTAATAGCAATAGCACTTAGACTTATATACCACTTCATATTACTTTTACAGCCCTCTCTAAGCGATTTACAGTCAGCATATTGCCCCCAACAATTTTGGGTCTTCATTTTACCCACCTCAGAAGGATGGAAGGCTGAGTCAACCTTTTTTTTTTTTCAAAAAAGTTTTCTATTTTTTAAACAAAAAACAACATAAAATCATCAACTTTCCAAACGCTTACAGACAGTATTTCGATCGGTGAAAATCATTTCGTGCTCTCAAAATTTTCAAACTCTCATTTTATGACAGATATTCTTACCTCTAACAGAAAAAAAAAACAAGTGCTTAAACATTTTATCCAAATTTCATTTCATATATAATATTTCATCTCCATGCTTTATTATCTATCCATTGATAAAATAGTTCCCATATCAAATAATATTGTTTATCTTCCTGTTCTCTTATTTCAAATGTCAATCTACTCATTTTGGCACAGTCCAACATTTTCTTAATAATTTCCTCATCGGTAATCATCTTCTCTCCTTTCCAGTTTTTTGCAAATACAATTCTAGCCGCAGTTAATATATTCACAATCAAATATTGTAATTCTTTGTTGAATGTCTCTGGTAAGATCCCTAATAAAAATATCTCTGCTTTAAGGTCAATATGTCTCTTTGTCATTTTTTCCAACCATGTATGTATCTTAGTCCAAAATCTCCTTGCTTCTACTCATGTCCACCACATATGATAATAGGATCCTGGGGTCTGATGGCACTTCCAGCACTTCTCCAATTTGTTCTTGAACATTCTGGCTGAGTCAACCTTGAGCCTGATGAGATTTGAACTGCCAAACTGCAGGCAGCCGGCAATCAGGAAAAGAAGCCTGCAGTATTATATTCTAACCACTGCACCACTGCAACTCTTTCTAAGTTAACTTTAAAACCAGGAAGTGACCATGCTGCAGAAATCTAGTCCAGAATTTAGGTGATTGAGAAGAAGCAGAAAATAACCCTCTGCCTCCCATGTTACATTGGAACATTTCAAACTTGGTTTTAGAGACCCATGCTCCACTGAACTTCACCACTTTCGTGGCACAGGTAGGATCAAACTAAAGATATTTCAGGGACGCGCAACTATCCACTGAAGCATACATCTAGCCCTCAAAATCGAGACCAAAACAATTGTTAAATGAGTCGCGCTCGATTTTATAACCTTTTGCCATGGTTGTTAAGCGAAGCACTGCCATTGTTAAGTGACTCATTCGGTTGTTAAAAGAATCCAGCCTTCCCCATTGATTTTGCTTGTTGGAAACCAGCTGGGAAGGTTCTAAATCAGTGTTTCTCAACCTTGGAAGCTTGAAGATGGGTGGATTTCAACTCCCAGAATCCCCCAGCCAGCACTGCTGGCTGGGGGATTCTGGGAGTTGAAGTCCACCCATCTTCAAGCCTGTTTGTTTTGTTTTTAAATGCTCATCCTTTTCCAAAGTCCATTAAAAACAGCTACAGTTTCTCCTAGCCATGAAGCCACATTGATTAGGAAAGAAATATATTTATATATTTTCATTTTTAATATGCAGGATTGCTTTAACTGGAGTCATTCTCCAGCAGCAGCAGCATTATTCGTGGTTCAGTTTTCAAACCTATTTTGGATCTATTGTGTTAGGAGTTGTTTCTGTTAACTGCCAAAGACCACTAGATGGCGCCAGGTTTCCAAAAATTGCAAAACGTGAAGCGCCAGGAGACCAGTTCAAATTTTAATGCCATATTTCTTTCCATAAATGGAACGTTATCAGTTCCGCTTTACTCTATTTTATTACGCTATTAAAACCGTTTGCCAATTACTTCCAGAAAAAAAAAAAAACAGAATTAACATTTGGAGTTCATGTTCCCTCTTTTAAATTACAAAAATTGACTCTAACAAAGAACACGGATTCAAGCATGAAGCATATTTTTTATAAGAAGGACATGAACAGGCGAACCAAGTACCTGCAAATAAGTATCACTTGTGTTAAATTTTCAGCACAGGGGAAAAAAAACTTTCCTGCTTTAATTGTTTGCAGATTGTTTTCCAAAAAGAATTATTATTATCTGGAATTTCATTACATTATCCTCAGTCCTGGCAATCATCCTAACAAACATGCATGTTATATCAGTGTATAACTTTAAGACACATGTTGTTCTCCTTCTCTGCTGATTCCTGCTCTGTTCTTTCTCTGTTTCCCAAGAACTCTCTATTTGAGGACGGGTGTCACATCTCAACCAGGTTACCTCAGTGTAACACTGGGTGAAAAAAATGCACTCCATTCCTTGTTTCCTTCAGGGCTGACTTTTTGGCTGATGTAACCTATAGAGGAGGGACACGGTGGCTCAATGGCTAAGACACTGAGCTTGTCGATAGAAAAGTCGGCAGTTCAGCGGTTCGAATCCCTAGAGCCCCGTAACAGGGTGAGCTCCCGTTATTTGTCCTAGCTTTTGCAAACCTAGCAGTTCGAAAGCACGTAAAAAATGCAAGTAGAAAAATAGGGACCAGCTTTGGTGAGAAGGTAATAGAGTGCCGTGCGCCTTTGGTGTTTAGTCATGCCGGCCACATGATCACAGAGATGTCTTTGGACAGCGCTGGCTCTTCAGCTTTGAAATGGAGATGAGCATCGCCCCCTAGAGTCAGGAATGAGTAGCACATATGTGCGAGGGGAACCTTTACCTAACCTATAGAGAAGGCACCTGCTGTAAAAGGTGCCTTTTTTCATCATTGGCTACTTAAGTGAAACTATGCTTGGCAATATTTACTATGAATAGAGGTCTGTCTGAGTCTGCTACCATAATGAAATTCATTCATTCATTCATTCATTCATTCATTCATTCATTCATTCATTCACAAGAGCCCTGGTGGCGCAGCAGACTAAAGCACTGTTATTAACAGTTATTAACATCATCTGCCTGCAATTACTGCAAGTTCAAATCTCACCAGGCTCAAGGTTCCATCCTTTCTAAGGTAGGTAAAATGAGGACCCGGATTGTGGGGGCAATAAGCTGACTTTGTATAAAATATACAAAAGTATGAAGGCTATTGCTTAACGCATTGTAAGCCGCCCTGAGTCTCTGGAGAAGGGCGGCATATAAATCAAATAAAAAAAAAAAAATTCAGCATCCATCTTGTTTCAAAAGTCTCTGGAGATTCTCACTCATCCAACTCATGGTTTGTCCCAAATGTGCTTTTTCCAAAAAGGCAACTGGGCTTTCCTTTTGGAAGGTTTTTTTCCTTGAAAACGTTTTGCTTCAAAATGTTTTCAAGGAAAAAAACCCCAAGAAAATCCAATTGCTTTTTGGAAAAAGAACCCTTTGGGACAATCTCATTTCAAAGCGATTCAGGGCGGGTTACAACATAAAAACATCAAAATGATCAAAAAATAAATATTCCTAACCCATAATGAACCGTATGAGAGAAGCTAAGGAACTGCAGAATTCAGGTTTAAGTCGGAAGCAGAAAAATAAGGGATATGAAAGCTGTTAAGGAGACATCAGGAGAACATCAACATGATTTTTGTTAGATCCTTCTGTTTATTCCTATTTCTGCAGGTCTGTTTCCGGCCTGCCATTAAGAACAGGGCACCTAGAGGCATGTTTCATGTGCTTTTAGTTAATGTTCTTCAGGCTGAAAACTTTTGTTTTATCACTGAAATCTTGCAAGGTTTCCATCGTTTTTACATGAGATTATGAGACATTTCTGAGGTCTACACACAACGATGCAAAAACATAGAACCAAGGTTACTGAAATCATAAAAGATCCCAGAATCTCATGAGATTCTAACAATGTTGTGTGCGTGTGCGCTTTGCTTTATTTATTTATTTATTTATTTATTTATTTATTTATTTATTTATCAATCAATCAAATTTCTATACCGCCCTACTCCCGAAGGACTCAGGGCGGTGAACAGCCAAGATAAAATACAGATAATACAAATATTAAAAGTCCCTTAAAATTATTAAATATTTTGGCCGAAACACAGATTAAAACACCCAATTTATAAGATCAAACGAATTAAAAATTTAAAAGAGGAGAGTTAGGCCAGGCCAGCCTGCTGAAATATTCTGTTATCCTGAACAGGGAAACTAATGAATGGATCAAGTGCAAGGTAGATTTCTATTAGACAGACAGAAAATACTTTCATCTTTAAAGCAAAGATTTAACAGGGTCAAAAAATTGACTGTTGTTACTCACTGACATTGGTAGAGAATGGGCAGAGAAAAGGATCACCGCCTCTTTTCTCTTATCCGGTGGAAATAAGTCTAGTTCTTTCTTTATGTGGTCTGCAAAACACTGAAAAGCAAAAATAAGAAAATTAAGAATTTAAGAGCATTAAATACAGGTAGTCTTCGATTTACGACGGTCACTTAGCAAATGTTTGAGATTACAATAAGTACAGTAATAAATACATTCCAAAGTTCCAACTGCTCCTCACCCCCCGTGGTCATGTGACTGCATTTCAGGCACTCAGCAACTGGCCCACATTTATGGCCACTTGCAATGTCCTGTGGCAGTGTCACTTAACAATCACATGATTCGCACTTATGACTGCCATTGTTCCGCCCCAACTACGGACCCCAAAGAACGCAGCACACACAAAGTCCTTTCAAACCTTAGTTTACTAAATAAACCAGTCTTTTACAACAACGGCTGTTAATTAATTGCATTAACAGCCGCCAAGAATTCAAAGAATAATAACTGAAAGCTTACTATGGTTGGCAGAATGCCCAGAAGCAATTTGCAGGAAGCTGATAAGATAAGCAAGACAAGACATGAAGGTATGTGAACAAAGTTGTCCCCTGCAAATTGCTTCAGTCAGCGTTCCTCCTTAAATAGGCTAAGGGAGTGGCCAATTAGCCCCAAGCCTTACTCTCGAGGAGATCTCCTGAGGAGCCACTCCTGCCTTTTGGCAGCTCTGCGCGCCCGTGCATCGAGAAGAGGCTCCTCCTCTTCGTCCTCTTCACCCATGGAAGCTTTTGGAGGTTCTGAAGGCCCTGGCTGAATCCCTGCCTCTGGCACCACATCTTCTCCAGCTTCCTCATTGTCCGACTCGAGTGCCAGCTGCACAGGCTGCTGGCGCAGCACCCACCATTATCTGAATCAGCTACTAGCTGCACAGGCCGCATACGGGCCACAACAGCCATTAAAACTCTCTAAAAATCAGATCTGGTCATGTGGGTGCCTTGAACGCAATGACTTATGACTCAAATTCCGGTTCCAATTGTGGTCGTAAGTTGAGGACTACCCGTAAGGGCTCAGAGAAAACAAAGGGCATCCAGACAAGCCTATCAGTATAGAAATCCCTTCTGGGAGGAGCAGTGGGAGAAGAAATTGAGGAAGGCATGACAAGACTCTTTGAGAAATCTGAAATATCTTTCAATGCATAAAATATCTTTCTCAATACCTGAATGAGGAGAGGATGCGTTGGCCACCTGTCAATCGTACTCCACTTCATCTTTGGTTTTTCTCCTTTTTGGTGATAGTAGCGATATATTGCATTCAAACTGCTTCCTGAAGGATGCACAATAATGAACTCAGATAAAAGCCTAACCCAAGAGCAGATCATCTCTCCCCCTTATTAGTCTTTCTTTCAAATCTCTTACCCCAAGTCCTCTGCAAATTATGCTGCAACCATTACCAAACCCGAGCCCCAACCAATAACCCAGTAAAACAATGTTTTGAGGTGGGACAGAGATAAGAACTAAAGTGTAAGCCCTAAAATGAGCTACACACTTAAAGAGTGAAACTGCTTCCAAGCTGTAAGAAAATGGAAAATGGAAAGTGTCTCATGACCACTATTTACACTGTTCTCAAACTTGGCAAACTTGGCAGGCTGGCTGGGGAATTCTGGGAGTTGAAGTCCACCTGTCTTAAGGTTGCCAAGTTTGAGAACACTGTCCTAATCTATCATCCCAAAGTAGACAATGAATCCATTTCTGCCCTCTTTCTGGAGACATAATTTTTAATTTAATTTTTTAATTTGATTTATATGCCGCCCTTCTCTGGAGACTCAGGGCGGCTTACAATGTGCTAAGCAATAGCCTTCATCCTTTTTGTATATTTATACAAAGTCAGCTTATTGCCCCCACAACTGGGTCCTCAATTTACCTACCATAGAAAGGATGGAAGGCTGAGTCAACCTTGAGCCTGGCAAGATTCGAACCTGCAGTAATTGCAGGCAGCTGGTCTTAATAACAGGGTGCTTTAAACCACTGTATTACCAAGACTCTATAATGATGTCCTCTTTGGCTTAAATTCTTAAGCTGCCCATCCCTGGCTTTTGACCCACCCCTCCTTTTGAAACTTAGCAAATGACCTTATTCTGCAAGCGAACTCACCTGTGGTGGAGCAGCTATACTGTGGATACTGCGTGAAAGCAATGGCTCTTTCAATACCATCTCTTTCCATCTCTTCGATCGCTTCTTCCGTCAGAGGATGGACGTAGCGAAAGCCGATATAATACTTGTGTGGAGCTGGAAGCAAAGGAGAATGAGTGGCTCTTTGCCAGTCTATGGAAACAAAGCTTTTTCTTGGAGGCATATCGACTAAGGCAATTTTCCTCAATCTACACCAGTGCTTCTCAATTTTGGCAACTTTGTTGACTTCAGAACTGAATAAGCTTCTTGGATGAGAAGCAAAATGTTTTCAAGGGGAAAAAAAAATCAAGTAAGTCCAATTGCCTTTTGAGAAAGCATCTTTGGGACCACCATTGATTGAGAACCTTTAGAGCAGGAGTGTCAAACTCAAGGCCCGGGGGCCGGATCCGGCCCACGGGGTGCTTAGATCTGGCCGCCTTGGAAACAGCGAAGGACCGGCCCATGGTGCTTCTGCCAGTGAAAACGGAGCTCACGAGAGCCACACACAGCTCTCCCACAGCTTTCACTGGCAGAGGGTTGCAGGAGGCCATCGCAGCCAAAAACGGAGCTCAGGAGCCTATTTTCGCTGGCAGAGTGCTCGGGCCACCACAGGTGCCCCCGACACGAGTGACGTCGAGGTGGCCACGGCCCCTCACCCCCACGCCCCGAGGTCAAACACAACCCTGATGCGGCCCTTAATGAAATCAAGTTTGACACCCCTGATCTAGAGACATTTCACCCATACTGAAAGAAAATTCCAAGGATGCTATCTGGGTCTTCAAAGACTTTGAACCAAAACTGCTTTATGTCTATGGAGATTCTCAGTTATCCAGGACATAGTTGTCTTTTTTTTTTCTCCAAAAAGCAATTGGACTGGGCTTTTTTTTTTTTTTCCTTAAGGAGAAAAACAGCTCTCAGCGTCCTCAACTCCAAGTGACCTCAACTGGCTCTGAGAGAGAATTAACGACCTGATGACTGCAAAGAAACACAATTTTTATGCACACCGAAACCCATCCTCCTGTCAGAGTCTATATTTCCATCCACCCCACCATCCAGTCTCAATGGTCTCTATTTATCTTCCCATTCCCCCCTACCATCGCAACTGATGAAGCTTCTTAGCTGAGAAGCAAAACGTCTTCTTTCTCAAGGAAGAAACAGTCTGGTTGCTTTTAGGGGAGAAAAAAAAAGCAACTTTGAGACAAAACTGCTTTAGCATCGGCCCTTTTCAAAACAGATCCACCACCCCCCCGCAACTTCCTGTCAGGTAGAACTGGCAGAAAATGGATCCAGCATTAACAATTAGGAGGATTTGCTAGAAAGCTTCTCAGGTCCTGCTGTCAATATTGAGGTTGATAAAGCTGTTTGATCTGGTTTAAGGTAATTTATGGGCTAAAGGACTGTCCGAGCTTTCTCATTTGCAAAAAAATAAAAATAAAAATAGGTTTGGTTTCATTCTTTCTAGACCAGGTGTGTCAAAGTCAAGGCCTGAGGGCTGAATCCGGCATGCAGGGTGCTTAGATCTGGCCCATGGGGCTGCCCTGGAAACAGCGAAGGACCAGCCTGTGGTGCCTCTGCCAGTAAAGATGGAGCACGGGAGGGCAGCACAGAGTCCTCCCAGGCTCTATTTTCAGCTGGGACAGCCTCCTGTAGCCCTCTGCAAACAAAAACAGAGCTCTGGGAGGCCGTCGCGGCCAAAGACAGAGTCCCGGTGGGCTGCGTACAGCCTCCCCAGGCTCCGTTTTTGCTGGCAGAGGACTGTAGGAGGCTGTCGTGGCAGAAAACGGAGCCTCAACGAGTGATGTCAAGCTGGCCAAGCCCATCCCGGCCATGCCCCCCTCTCCCAGCCCCCCAAAGTCAAACACAATCCTGATGCGGCCCTCAATGAAATCGAGTTTAACGCCTCTGTTCTAGACAGTGTTTCTCAGCCATTCTAAAATGTGTGGACTTCAACTCTCAGAATTCCCCGATCAGCATGTGGCTTGGCAAATTCTGGGAGTTGAAGCCTGCAGATCTTAAAATTGCCAAGATTGAGAAACACTGCTCCAGAGGATTACACTAGAAAGTGCTGGAGAGATCTCAAAAGAGGATTAGAAAAGGACCTAGAGGAAAAGGCAAAGCCTATTATTTGCACATCGCATTTAACCCGTTTACTAAATTAAGGTATTTTCCGGGTTTAAACAATACATTGAGTTATCAACTAACCAATGGGCTGGATTACTGTAATATATAAAAGCCACAGAGCAGACAAAAACCCTACCTGAGTTAAAACTGAACAGATTTAGCTCATTTTGCAAATGCAGCTACTATATATATATATATTTCAGGGATTAAAGCATAACATGCTACCAGCCACAATGGCTATACATCAGGGGTGTCAAACTCGATTTCATTGAGGGCTGCATCAGGGTTGTGTTTGACCACAGGGGGGCAGAGTGAGCGTGGCCAGGGTGGGCGTGGCCAGCTTGACGTCACTCATGTCAAGGGCGCCTGTGGTGGCCTGAGCATTTTGCCAGTGAAAAAGGGGTTCCCGAGCTCCATTTTCAGCCGCGATGGCCTCCTGCAGCCCTCTGCCAGCAAAAACGGGGCCTGAGGGGGCACATGCAGCCTCCCCGAGCTCCATTTTCACTGGCAGAGGGCTGCAGGAGATTGTCACAGCGGAAAACAGAGCCTGGGAGGGCCACACACGGCCCTTCCTAGCTATATTTTCACTGGCAGAGGCACTGCGGGCCTGTCCTTCACTGTTTCCAGGGCGGCTGGAAAACCAGAAAAAAACCCTGCTATACATGATACTGCTGTTGCAGTGCCTTTCCATACTATATGATGGAAGATACAAATAGGCAGACGCTATTTCCTACTATCTCATTTACGGCATTTCTAAGGGCATCTGGCTGGCCATTCCTGGAAATGGAAACCTGGAGAAATAGATGCATCATTCTCTAGAGCAGTATAAGACGAGCTACACCCTTTTAAAAAAAAGAGAGAGAGAGATAAAATGTTTCCAAGCTGTGAGAAAATGGACAATGCTGACCTGTTTCATGACCATTATTTACGGTGTTCCTCAACCTCTGGCAACTTTAAGACATGTGGACTACAAGTCCCAGAATCTCCCAGCCAACACGCTGGCTGGGGAATTCTGAGAGTTGAAGTCCACACTTCTGAAAGTTGTCAAGGTTGAGAAACGTTGCTCTAGAAGCCAGGAAGTCAATTACTGGAGGTGATAAAAACTCTAATTCCAGAAGAGAAAGTGTGCAGCCCGTTTTCTATAGGAGGAAGAGATAAGAAATGGATACTGGAGATAGCCTAATCAGAATTAAACCTTTCAGCGCTCAGCTCTCCTACTGAAATCAATGGGCTTTAACTGCTAGAAACTGCTATAAGTCAATCCTGACTTCAGGTGACTGCCTGGACTAATACCTTTAGTTTTGTTGACAAGTTTTTTTTTTCTCCAGAAGGGGTTTGCCATTGCCTGCTTCCTAGGTCTAAGAGTGAGTGACCAGCATAAGGTAACCCAGCTGGCTTTGTCCCTAAAACAGGACTAGAACTCACGGTCTCCCAGTTTCTAACCTAATGCCTTAATCACTAAATCAAATTCAACCATTCATCCATCCATGTATGTAAAATTTTACCTAGGATTGGATGGGAAATCACCAAGAAATCCTAGGTCATGGGCTAAACTGGGATTTTTTTTAAAGAAAAATTATAAAGTCAATGCAAGCCACTTCCAAATGGTTTCCAAGAAAACTACAATGTGTCTCTATAGTCACCAACCGTTAAGCTCAACTTGAGTGAATATTTACTTTTTTAAAATCCTTGGTACAACTGCAACACAGAACTCTAACTCCTCCATTCCAACCTTTTCCTCCACAAGGAAAAATGGTGGAATTATGCATTTCATCCAGGTGAAAAATATAATATTGCAAAAGCTTCTAACAATAATAAAATTTCACTTCTTTTAAAAAAAAAAAAAATCAGGGCAACCCCACAGCTCAACCAAGAACATCACAAACTCTGCCTTGATCTAAGCAGTAATTTCTCCTCGCTGTCCTGAAAATTTCTCCTGCAAAGACATTAGCATGCTTGCCGTGGTGTATAATTTAGAAGAAGAAAAAAATTCCGTGACATAATCAGAGTCCGCGTTAAGATGCAAGAGACGTTCAAACAGATAAAAGTCAGGGCGGCTTTCAGTTGGGAAACCACACTGTGAAGTAAGAAGGAGTGAGAAGGTCTGACAAGCGCAGATAATACTTCCTAAACCATTAACTTGCTGCTCTGAAGTCCCAACCCTTTAACTGCCTAATTTGATGAAAAAGTGTCTGGCTTGAATGTTGAAGAATGGAGAGTCCTTGGTGCTCTCTGAGCTTGGTTGTTTAAGGATGCTGTGAAAATGTTCCTGGTGTCCTTTCAGTTTCCCAGCCTGCATCCCAAAATTAGAATTGCCCACTAAGTCCACACTTACAACTCACACTCACATTCATCGTCCCTTGCTTGATGTTGCAGCAAAGGAACAACATGGCACAACCTGAGTCCAAGTTACATGGAACAATGTGAGTCCACATTACTCAAGGAACTGTCTCACCCTAATGGGGTAGGCCTCACTTGCACTGGCAGAAAAAGTATGCTGAGGTCCCGTCGGCTAAGGAATCTGAGCTGGTGGGGTTCGGGAAAAAGGCCTTTTCTGCCATGGCTCCTGCACTCTGGAACATCATACCCCTTCAAGGTGAGATTCACTCCCCACTTAGCCTTCTGAAGTCTAGCTCTGCCAATTAGCCTAGGGACCGGATTTTGTGTGTGTGTGTGTGTGTGTGTGTGTGCGCGCGCGCGCCTTACTGTTTTAATCTTTCGTAATGCTGCTTTTAATAAATTACAAACCACCCAGAGTCATCTGACTGCGTTGGATGGCATATAAATTTAATAAATAAAATAATAAAGGAACTCAATTATAGTTATTATTGCCATTGGTTTCACAGTCAGTCAGATTATTATTAACCACATCTATACGGCTGCCCCTCTCACAAGAAATTACTCTGGGCAGCGTACAACAAGCAATAAGCACCATAAATATGTAAAAATGTTCATTATGAAAATATAAAAAGTCATTATTAAAAAAAGGGAAAAATTGTATTAATAAAAAATTAATACATACAAATCAGGAGTGGTATTCACTTACCTTCGCTACTGGTTCGCAAATATGAGCGCATGCGCTTCGTACGCTCGCTTGCGCCACCTCTGCACATGTGCAGTGCCTTCCGCGCATGCACATAGCATCAAAAACGGGACGTGATGACATCTGAGCGGGTGGGCGGAGCCTCCCGCAGCCACCACTACCAGTTCGCGTGAACCGGCTGAATACCACCACTGATACAAACCCAGAGAAAGTTAAAAAAAAAAAATCAACAACAATGAAGCCATTGTCTTCATTGTTTAAGAACAGCTCTGGCTCCCTGTCTCCTTGCACAGGCACTGAGAGGGCTGAAAGAAAAATATTCACGTACTCCCATATATTCCTCATCTTACAACCATTCAACCATTCAAAGCTACGACTCCGAAAAAAGCGAGTTACGACTGCCACATGATCCTATTTGTCTGGATGCTTACAGTTGTTCAAATGATGATCTTAGCTGAACAACAACTTACTAACCTATGAAATCTATTTCAGCATGTGGGAGGGTGATGGAACCATTTGATAGAGAGACTTTGCAGGTTAAACTTTCCCAATCATGGGAAGATAGAGCCAATTCTTCCTATATCAACAGCATTGACCAGATGGATTACACCACACACACACACACACACACAGTCTTCATGTCTGAATGAGCTGTCATTTGTCATCTCCAAAACTGGTATTGGCTACTTGTACAGAGTGACTTGGAGCTGTTCCTTCTTATCAACTGATCCATATTCAAGGGAGGAACGGACTAGCTGTTGGGTGTAACCAATGGCACTCTCTTTGTTTAACTATACAGGGTGTGTGTATGTTTGTGTGTGTGTATAAACTACAGCCAAATGGGAACCTTGTTAATCACGCAGAGGCATATGTAGACATCAACATTCCTAATGAGAACACCTCATATTTTATTGATTAGGGGACTGGAGGCTAAAACATATGAAGAACAGTTGCAGGAACTGGGTATGTCTAGTTTGATGAAAAGAAGGACTAGAGGAGACATGATAGCAGGGTTCCAATATCTCGGGGGCTGCCACAAAGAAGAGAGAGTCAAGCTATTCTCCAAAGCACCTGAGGGCAGGGCAAGAAGCAATGGGTGGAAACTAATCAAGGAGAGAAGCAACTTAGAACTAAGGAGAAATTTCCTGACAGTTAGAACAATTAATCAGTGGAACAACTTGCCTCCAGAAGTTGTGAATGCTCCAACACTGGAAGTTTTTAAGAAGATGTTGGATAACCATTTGTCTGAAATGGTGTAGGGTTTCCTGCCTGGGCAGGGGGTTGGACTAGAAGACCTCCAAGGTCCCTTCCATCTCTGCTATTCTATTCTATTCTATTCTATTCTATTCTATTCTATTCTATTCTATTCTATTCTATTCCATTCCATTCCACTCCACTCCACTCCACTCCACTCCACTCCACTCCACTCCACTCCACTCCATTCTTTAAGAAGAGATGTCTTAAACCTGTCTTTTTCAGAAAATATTCTGAGGGAAATAGTTCGGATATTTTTTTTCTTAATCACACTTTCCTAAGGAAAGCTGTCCTTTCTGCCAGATCTTACATAGTTCTTCTCACTGCACCTACACTTGGAGCATCCTGGGGTGTGTGAAGTAATCACTAAGTCACCAACAGAGTTCTCATTGGCACAGGTGAGAGGAAAGAAGTAAAAGTTCTGATGCTTGACCTCTTTACAAATAGCTGGAACATGTTCTTCCTTCTGGAAAAATTAAACATTTTATTTCCCTGTCCACATATTGATTGGATTATTCTGAAGGATCGCATAACTCTAAGAACATACAATGATTACTACAGATCTCTTATGAAGGATATTGAGCAGGGAAGGGGAAGGATGGTATTTACTAACTAAAAATCATTTTACACTAAATCTAAGTTGAGCAAGGTTTTCATGAAGCCACACTGACAGTGTTTTAGCAAGCAGCTGTTGCTGCTGGAAAACTAAATTAGGAATTTGTCAGCCATGTCTTTGCAGGGCACAGAACTATGAAAGCAGTAAGCCTTACTTATTTGGGGCATGTATCATGGAGTTTGTGATACAAGTGTGATGCTTTCATTAAAATGACAAAAACACTCAGAGGCCTCAGGGAACTTGTAATCATTGTACAAATTTAACTAACTAGTTTAGATGATCTCAAGAAAATGCTAGAAACTCTGTATTACAAGAGTAAACACTGGCATACCTTTTAAAATACTCTGAAAATCTCCCCCTCTTTTTTGGTTGTTATACTGTATGTAAATTGCTTCAGGGGGTAGGTAGGTAGATAGATGGATGGATAGATAGATAGATAGATAGATAGATAGATAGATAGATAGATAGATGGATGGATGGATGGATGGATGGATGGATGGATGGATGGATGGTAGACAGACAAACAGACAGACAATAAAATAACCTTCACTGGAGCAAAGATAAAGCCACACTTGAGTTTGATTGTGTGGCTCTAACAAGATTGCTCGGGTTACATGAAGAAAATGTGAGAAAATGTGACTTGCTCTTCTAGGTAAGAGCTCCCATATGAGAAGATAAGAGATCTCCCAAATCCAATTTAACTGTAAATAAATCAATAAATAATTTCAAGGCTAGGGACTAAACCTTCCAATTCAACTCCAACCTAATTTAATTTTAAAAGCAACTCTGCATTATTACACTTCACTGAAACCCGTCAGTAAGGGTATCCAACTGCTATTCAGATTTCTGAACATGTTTTCCCACAGCAGCAGCTTCAACAAGAAAAAATAAAAAGCTGAAATACCAGACTCCGGAGACATTTCATTCAGCAACTTCACCATGCCTTCCCCTTGGGTCTCAGTCCATTTCTTAATAGGTGATCCACCCCCGATCCGCCTGTATTGCTCTTGGATTTTTGGAGTACGTCGCTTTGCAATAAAAGGTCCTAATTTACTGAAATACATAAAATAGATACGGTTAATAACCATACATTTTACCTTCTTCCCCCTTGATGGGTTAAAAATAAACTTTAATGCTGAACATACAGACACACTTAGAGTGCTAATATAGTGCTACTATGCTACAGCTGAGTTCTGTCCAAAAAAGTCTCTGAAGAATCACTTTAAATGTAAGTCCATTTGCATATTATAATAATTATTTCTTGTGACAATATCTTTAGCACCATCAATAACATCTGCCTATCTCAGGTCCTTGGGAAGGACTGGATAGTTGAATAAAAATGCCACATCCAATCTAAACATCTGGCTGACCAACTGCAACCAACCATAATAATAGGACTTCCTCAGTATCTGGAAATATTGAATTTATCAGACCTGAACACACTAATTTTTTTTTTTATAAAAATACCCTGCTTGGAACTGCCCATATTCTTAGATGGTCTCTTAATATTTCTTAGGTTTTTGGTTAGGATTTGACTCATTAAGTCTCCACCAGTTCTTAGAGTGCCAATCTAACTGTACATTACCCATACAAAATTAGGTTATTAGGTTAAAGGTAAAGGTTCCCTTGAACATATGTGCTAGTCGTTTCTGGCTCTAGGGGGTGGTGCTCATCTCTGTTTCTAAGCCGAAGACACTGTCCGAAGACAACTCTGTGGTCATGTGGCAGGCATGACTAAACACCAAAGGTGCACGGAGCACTGTTACCTTCCCACCAAAGTGGTCCCTATTTTTCTACTTGCATTTTTTACGTGCTTTCGAACTGCTAGGTTGGCAGAAGCTGGGACAAGTAATGGGAGCTCACTCCATTACGCGCCGCTAGGGATTTGCACCGCTGAACTGCCGACCTTCTGATCGACAAGCTCAGCATCTTAGCCACTGAGCCACCACGTCCCTTTTATTATTAGGTTATAGCAGGTTAAAACTATCGTGGGATTTCTGAATTCAAACTGACAGAGTCTTGACTCATAACACACCAGATTTAAGTATGGCTGAAAAAAAAAACTGTGGATAATTGATATAGCGATTCCAGGAAATAGAAGAATAGAGGAGAAAGAATTGGAGATTTCCAAGTATCAAGACTTGAAAATTGAAACCGAAAGATTAAAGCATGAACTGGCCGTGATGTTCCCATTGTTCTATACCAAAAAATCTTGGACAGCACTTAGAAAATCTATGCATTATGCATTCCATGTGTCAATTACCGAAGGCCACAACTGCTTGGATCTTCTCATATACTATACCCGTGATGGCGAACCTATGGCATGTATGCCACAGGTGGCACGCAGAGCCACATCTGTGGGCACGCGAGTGTTGCCCTAGCTCAGCTCCAGCACGCATGTGTGCTCCAGCCAGCTGATTTTTGGGCCTTTCGGGCCCACCGGAAGTCGGGAAACAGGCCTCCCCAGGCTCCTAGAAAGCCTCTGGAGCCTGGGGAAGGCAAAAAAATGGGCCTTTCGGGCTCACCATGCCATCGAGTGCCAAAACCAGAGGGGAGCACCGGGGAGTCATGCATGTATTCATCGGGGGCGGGGCACATTGAATTATGGGTATGGGCACGTGCACACTCAACCCCTCCACGCTCCTCCCCGGTTTTGGCATGCAGCGGCAAAAAGGTTAGCCATCACTGTACTACACTATACCAATACACTACAAAATCTTAGGTTCTTAGGAAGGTTCTTTGTGTATAAAGGTCAACACCATCTAAAAAAGCTGTCAGCTGTGACATCACGTGTTTATGTCTATAATAATAATAATAGACAAAAAGACGAAATCCAGTCTAAGCATCCGACTGATAGTATGACCAACCATAATGATAATAGGATGTAGCAATTCCTGAATATTTTGCATCCTGCCTTTACCCAAAAGCTGTAGCTCTTTCATGTTGCAAGGGCTGACATAATCTGAAGAATGATTAATGGCTTTTATTACATTTTTTAAAAAAATTATTTTTATATGCCACCCTTCTCCAGAAGACTCAGGGCCCCACAAACCGGGTCCTCATTTTACCCACCTTAGAAAGGATGGAAGGCTGAGTCAACCTTGAGCCTGGTGAGAATTGAACTCGCAGTAATTGCAGGTAGCTGGATGTTAAATGCTGCCTTAGTAGGAGGCATTAGCCTCCTACGCCACTCAGGCTTAATGGGTAATGCGTGATTAAGAAACTGAAAGTAGGTAAGCACAAGTAGGTGCAACTGGATAAAGAAAAAACATGCACATGAGCACTCATCCATTTCTTTAGATATAAATGTATTCTCCCTTTTCCCTATAGTGCTCTCTGGATATTTTGCTAATCCCCAGGTAATGGCAAAGAATTCTGCAAGCCTCAAGGTGGAAAAACATGACCTACTAAATCATCCTGCTAGCTTAGCGGAATAGTTAAAATGCACTCTACGTGCATGAGAGGGCTTGGAAAAACCCATGAAGCTACAGAAATGCAAAGAAGGGTCTTTTAAAAAAACAAATTAATTATACTCATTTTGTGCAATTAAACACGTTCTTAAGCTTCTCTCTGAAGTTCATTAGGATAATCAGTAGCTGAAGGATTGTCTTACTTTTGCACTGGAAGTGTCATTAGATCTCTATCAAGAAAAAGCCTTTGCAGGAACCCATGGACATCTTCTAGGGTCTCTGGGCCCCCCATATTTAACATTAAGATCCCTGTTTTAGGTTTCCTGTGGAGAAAAAAAAAAGAGAGAATAAAATGCCTTTCATACACCATTTATAAATTTAAAATTATAATGTATAATTATCTATTAAAAATGGTCTTTTTATAATCTTATTGGGTATTTTTAACATTGATTTTGCTTGTTTTTACTGTTGTGAGCCGCCCTGAGTCCTTTCGAAGATAGGGCGGCATACAAGTTCAAATAATAAATAATAATAAATAAATAAATTACAAAATTATAATTTATAAATTAAAGTCAGATTTTACTTTTGATAACTGTAGTTAACTGTATCTAATTGTCTTCTTGCAGGACTTTTCCCCTAAAGGTCTTATTTACTTGTTTGCTTGTTTATTAAATTTAGATGCCACCATCTCATTATCAAGCAAATCTGGGCCACTTACATATCATAAAATAACACTATAAAACACAACTTTTTTTGTGGTCAACCAGTCAGGATGATGGCACCTAACTGGTACATCTTTTGTGGATAATCACATAAGATTGTTTTTGTCTTTGGTTGTTTTCCTAGGTATCCCAGGGTAATTTTTTATTATCGCTGGGAGGAAAGTATTATGGCTGAATGGAGAAAGAGAACATACAACATAGAATCAGAGGGATGGAAGGGACCTTAGAGGTCTTCTAGTCCAACCGCCTGTTCGAGCAGAAGACCCCATACCATTCAGTTGGTCAGAGTTCTAAAGGATAAAATCTGGCACTTCCTATATCTGTCCATTTCACCTGTTCTTTCCAGGTACCTTAAGTCTATAACATGGACTCTCCTGGCTGAGGAAAAAACTCAGGTGTGAGACACATTTGCAGGTCTCTATCCAATCAAAGCACAAAACTACTACACAGGTTTGTCCTGAACTTACAACCACATATGGGGTCAGAATTTCCATTGCTAAGCAAGGAGATTGGTCAGTGGGTCCCACCATGTTTTTACAATTTTTGCCATGGTTGTTAAGCAAATCACCACAGTTGTTAAGCGAATCCACCTTCCCCTATTGACTTTGCTTGTCAGAAGCTGGTTGGGAAGGTTGCAAAGGGTGATCATATGACCTCAAGAATCCTGCAACTGTTGTAAATACATGTAGGTTGCCAAGTGCCAGAATTTTGATCACATGACTGTGGGGCTGCTGCATTAAGTGTGAGGGCTGGTTGTAAGTCATTGTTTTGTGTGTGTGCCACATAAATAGTTGTAAGTTGAGGACTACCTCCCCTTGACAATGTCTGCAACTTTTTAAAAAGTATTAGAAGTTTAATTTTCTCATCATCCACTTGTTCCCTTGCCTTTCAGGAAATGAACAGTCATAAACCTTTAACATAAAAAGTTAATGAAAAAAGAAAACAAATATTTTAATCTCATTTAGGGCATAAAGACAACAAAATAGTTATGAATGTGCAGCAATTAACACTCTTAAAGAGCCAAGTCCTGCTTTTCCCCCTAAGATTTTCATTCTGAAAACAGATACTTTTTTAAAAAAAACAGAAATCCCAGTTTTACTACCAGTCCTGGGAAAATATCAATCCTTTGACCACTAACCTTACAGTATTTGTGTCTCACAAATTAAAAATATCATGAAAAGCTGATTCCAGGGAATAATTCTAAAAACAATAAAAAGTGAATTCTTTTAAATGACCTGTGTTAAATTTCTTCCAACCACACTGTTCTCTTTTAGCACAAACAGGCAAGTCTTCAAAATCTTTTGTCCTGAGTAAAAAGAAAATTGACTATAGCTTTATCCTGGGCATGCTGCAAATCCCCAAGACAAAAAACAAAAAATAAAAAGCCCAAGATATTCTTCTGCATCAAATCTCAAAGCAAGTAACAGGGTAATCTTACACTCAAAAGTTAATTCTTTGAATCTAAGTTCACTGGGACGTATTCTCAAATATGCTCCCAGCAAGAGATTAGAATAAAAAGCACATGGAGTATTTGATCTCTCTGAGCTTGTTTTCTGGCAAATGTTTCATTACCTAACTAGGTAACATCATCAGTGTAGGTGAAGGTAGAAACTATACCCCCATTAAAACCAGCACGGCAAGCCTCTGCATATAAACAGCCAGCAAACCCTCTTCTCACTGATAACGTTACCTAGTTAGATAATGAAGTATCTGCAAGAAAACAACCAGGCTCAGGGAGCACCAAGGACTACACAGTTCAACCCTGATCTACAAGTATTCTCTTCTATTGGAATAGAAAGCATATTATTAAAAAAGTTTTGCAGCAAGTTTTCTCTGCATGAAGAATTCCAGCTACAGGAACTGCAGCTTTGAGACAAACCAAAACCTATAAATTAACGAATAGATTACCAAAAGGAGTAGATTTTCTTCCTCATTTACCAGTTTGCTCATTCTCAGTCAACTGTGGCTGCTTTAGCACCCCTTAAATGCCAGGTGAAAAGTACTATATGCCCATCCATTCAATTCCATTGGTGTGCCTTACCTCTTTTCAGGTTGAATCTGTGGCTTTGCTTTTTGTACAGCGGCTGTTGACTGCCATCTCCAATGCAACTGGACTCTTGTCTGATTCCAGCTATTCCTTTTTGCAACTAAAGGGAAGATAAGAGACCAAGCAATTTACTTCCTATAATTTTACTTCATGTTTTAAAAATATTTTGATCATCTAAAGCAGGGGTCTCCAAACTTGGCAACTTTAAGACTTGTGGACTTCACTTCTGGGAGTTGAAGTCCACAAGTCTTATATATATATATATATTATTTTATAAACAAACAAACCATACAATACATAAACATTCAGTGTATCATCTAGGTCAGTGTTTCTCAACCTTGGCCACTGGACGATGTGTGGACTTCAACTCCCAGAATTCCCTAGCCAGCTCTGCAGAGCCGGCTAGGGAATTCTGGGAGTTGAAGTCCACACATCGTCCAGTGGCCAAGGTTGAGAAACACTGATCTAGATGTTTCTATTGTGTCTTCATCTTCTTCTCACTCCACCGATCTTCAGCGTTTCTTTATTTTTCCCATTTCTTTATTATAACATTCTCCCCATACTTCATTTATTATAACATTTTCTTGTTTACTATTAATACATTTACCTATATCTCTTCTCTAACCAATTGTAAAATTGTCTCTATTCCGAATCCTCTCTTTCTTTAATTATCAAAGTCAGTCGATTCATTTCTGCACAATCTAATATTTTCTTAATTACTTCATCTTCTGAAGGGATTTTCTCTTACTTTCCAACTTTGTGCTAATACTATCCTTGCTGCAGTTATTACATGTATAATCAAATATACCTTTTCTTTGCTAATTCTCTCTGGAAGGATACCCAATAGGAACAGCTCAGGTTTTAAATCAGTATGTTGTTCAAGCATTTCTTCTAACCATGTCCACAAGTCTTAAAGTTGGCAAGTTTGGAGACCCCCTGCTCCAAAGCAACAATCTCCAACCTTCGCAACGTTAAGGTTGGAGATCATGTGGCTCAGCAGACTAAAAGCATTGTGATTAATACCAGCTGTCTGCAATTACTGTAAGTTTGAATCTCACCAGGCTCAAGGTTGACTCAGCCTTCCATCCTTTCTACGGTAGGTAAAATGAGGACCCAGTTTGTGGGGCCAATAAGCTGACTTTATATAAATATACAAAAGTATGAAGGCTATTGCTTAACGCTTTGTAAGCCGCCCTGAGTCTCTGGAGAAGGGCGGCATATAAATCAATTTTTTTAAAAAAAATACAAAAAAATAATAATAAAGACTTCAACTCCCAGAATTCCCCAGCCAGCCAGCATTGTATCCAACCTGCAGCATGGCTGGCTGGCTGAGGAATTCTGGGAGTTGAAGTCCATAAGTCTTAAAGTTGCCAAGTTTGGAGACCCCCTGCTCTAAAGCAACAGTCTCCAACCTTCGCAACGTTAAGACCTATAGACTTCAACTCCCAGAATTCCCCAGCCAGCCAACAGTGTATCCATCCTGCAGCATGGCTGGCTGAGGAATTCTGGGAGTTGAAGTCCGTAAGGCTTAAAGTTGCCAAGTTTGGGAGATCCCTTATGCAACCTGCGGCCAAGTGAGGTAACAAAATCCTGCCTGGGGTGGCGGGGGGGGGGTGTGAGTGGACAAGCATTGGGACCTTGCTTAGTCCCTTTCCCATGGCGAGGTTACCCTCTCGCCTCGAGCCACCCTGCGTGGCTTTCATGGCTTGCCAAACCCCAAACACATTAGCGCGATTTCTGGCTGGATGCAACGGGGGAGAAATCCCAAGGACCCTCCAGAGCAGGGGTCTCCAACCTTGGCCATTTTAAGACTTGTGGACTTCAACTCCCAGAGTCCCCTCAGCCAACTTTGCTGCAGGATGGATAGTGCTGGCTGGCTGGGGAATTCTGGGACTTGAAGTCCACAAGTCTTAAAATGGCCAAGGTTGGAGACCCCTGCTCCAAAGCTCGAGCGCCTTTTGATGCCAGAAAAAGCCAGCGGGATCGATGCCTCTGTGCCCCCAGCAGTTTAGGTAACAGCGGCCCGGCTGGGTGCAAACACCACCCAGCCACACCCCATAGCTTTTCCCCTACAGAAAATCGACCACTCCCCCAAATAAAACTATGCCCAAGCTCCCCCATAGCCCCTGCAAGAGGCAAGGCAAGCGCTCCAGCATTCAACCGAGGCAGGGGGGAAATGCACCCTGCATTCCGCCTTCCCCAATCTTAAACTGCGGATCTGGAAAATCCTGCAAGAATTTTTTTCCCCCCTTTGAAATAAATAAAAAACAAACAAACAAGGCAATTGACATACTTACATGGATGCAAGGCTCGACTCGCAGCTTGGAAGGCAGCAGCCATATTTGTGTAAGCTCAATAGATTCCCCTCCTGTACGGCAGCCGCAAGGCACAGCAAGTCTTTCCAAAGGGAACCGGATTGCTCTTGTTGCATCCCTTCTCCCAAGTCTCTTAGGCTCTGCCAGGCATGTTAGTTCCCTTCGGCAAACCAGCGGAGGGGGCGGAGCCTTCAGGGAGACAAGGCAGCCCCTCCCTCCTCCCCCGCCCTCTCTCTCTCTCTCTCTCTCGGTGGTTGCCGGAAGACAAAAAAGAGGGCGGAGTCAGGGGGCAAAGCGGTGAATCAATGAGCGGTCCGAGTGACTCAGCGCTTCGGGTTCGCATGGAACTAGCTGAGGGGAGCTACGGCTGATGATGTAGCTGAGCCTCTCAACAAGCGCGGGCGGGGGTGGGTGGGAGACGAAGTACTTTGGTACGAGGATGAGAGACCACTAGGAAATCCATCGCTTGAATTAGGTAGACGGAAAAACACTCAGTAAAAATCCAAATGGCCATTTTAATTTAATTAATTTAATTTAATTTAATTAATCATATTTCTATGCCGCCCAACTCCCAAGGGACTCTTACCACTTACCACTTAAGAGGGGTAAAGAGATACAGAAGTTTCAAAAATCCTGCTAGGTGGCTGGTATCGATCTTTTCAGCTTGACAACTCTGAGTGCACAACTTTCATTGTCCAGTAATCATTACAAGTGGAGTCCCAAAGGTGCTTTTTTCAAGAGGCAACTGGACTTTCTGCTTTTTCTTTGAAGACGTTTTGCTTCTCGTCTTCTTGGATGAGAAGTGAAAGAAAAAACAGTGGTGCAAGGGTTGAGGGAAGGTTTTTACAATATTTTTTATAGATATTAAATAGCGAAGATGGTATTTGATTATACGTAGTGGATTTGTAGAGAATAAGATGAATAAGTTTATGCAAAGTTATTAAGTAAGGAATGTTTCCAGGAAGAATCAATATAAGTTTATGGGGTAAAAAGTAAAAATAAGGTTTTTACAATATATTTTATTTGAGATTGGTTAAAATATTGTGTTAAGGTGTTAATATATGTAAGGGTTGGAGATGTGATGGTTAATTGTAACTGGGCTCTGATTGTGTAATACTGGAAGAAAAAAGACTTGCTTATTATTGAAGAACAGACAAGAACGAAGGTGGATTGATTACTTTCAAGCAATAATTGGTTTAAATAGTTATATTTAGATATGAACAAGGGGAGCTAAAGTGCAAGAGGGAGATAAATCTATGGATAGTTAGCGTGTTTTGTTTTTGTTTTTTGTTAAATGTTATACCCTGTATTTGCTCTGAGAAGGGGGGGGGAGAGATTGTTGCTAGTTTGGTTATCCTGGTTAGGCCCATATATAAGAGACTGTAGGCTTTCTTGTAATAGTAATATTTATTTCTTTTCTTCCTCAGGAACACAATTAGACAGGGACTAATCTGGGAGGAGCAAGAACTTATATACAGAGAAGGCGGGGCTAATGGTAAGTACTAACCAATGGTAAGTGACACAATGACATCACACAATGACATATAAACAAGCACACATATTTACAGATATCAGGTTAGGTATTTTCATCTGTAACAAATCCCCCTCTAAAATACCTAACTAATGGTGGGTTATTAAGATTATATATGCACATCAAGTTTGGAAGTCAAATACATATGTTGTTTGGTTGGCAATGGCTTAGTGAGGATATCAGCAATTTGTTCACTAGTATTGCAATGGATAGCTTTAATAAATCCTATACTTGACAGTTGTCTTACATGTTTATATTTTATATCGATATGTCGAGATCGTTGACCTATTGCTTCGGAAGCTGATATATCAATTGCTGCCTTATTGTCCTCATTGATAATAATTGGATAAACAGGTTCATCCCACATTGGTTAACAAGTCATCGAACCAAGTTAGATTGTTGACCGCTTTGGATAAACAAACATATTCGGCTTCCGCTGTGGAAGTGGCAATTAAATTCTGTTTGCCTGTGTACCAGTGCACCGCATAGCCATTTATAAGAAAAACATATCCAGAAGTACTTTTTCTGGTTTTTGAATCAGTAGCCCAATCAGCATCAGCGTAGCAGGTCAAAGTTGGTTTTTCAGAAATGAATGGTTCTAAGAATAAGCACATATCAATGCTAGACTTTAGATATTTTAGAATCCTCTTAATTCCTTCCCAGTGGTATGAGTTAGGATTGCTTACATGTCTTGACAACAAATTTACAGCAAGGGTGATATCAGGCCTGGTCCAATTAGATATGTATAATAAGGACCCAATAATTGATCGATATAACGTGTTATCCTTGAATGGTTCGTACTCATTATACACATTCCTATAAAAATCAGTTGACATAGGAGTATCACAAATTTTTGAATTAATTAAATTACATTTTTGTATGAGTTCCATAATCTTGTCTTTCTGAGATAATTTGAACCCCTTATCTGTTTTGTCAATTTGGACTCCTAGATACTTATTTACCTTTCCTAATATTTTAAGTTGAAATTTTTGCCTAGTTGTTCAGCGAAATTATCACATTTAATTTTGTCGTGTCCAAAATACAATATATCATCAACATAAATCAAAACATATTCAATAGAACCATTATTTTTTTTTGTGAAAAAACAAAAATCAGATGAAGTAGCTACAAAACCCATATTTTTAAGTATCTTTGATAAGCACTCATACCACCGCTTACCGGACTGTTTTAGTCCATAAAGGCTCTTGTTTAATAGCCAAATTTCTCCCTTTTTTGTATCCTTTCCTGGGGGTGCTTTCACATAAATTTCTTTATCTAGATCAGCGTGCAGATAGGCTGTCTGCACGTCAAATTGATATACTTCCAGATTTAAGATAGAAGCTAACACTAGTGCTGTTTTCACGCTTTCTGATCTAACGGTTGGGGAGTAAGTGTCTTCATAGTCATCCGGAAATCTTTGGGCAAAGCCTTGAGCCACCAACCTGGCTTTGTATAGGAATTTACCATCCTCTAGCTCCTTGATTTTATAGATCCACCTAGTGCCAATAGGGGATTTCTCAGTGGGCAGGTCTGTTGGTGTATATACATTTAGTTCTCTCAAACTGTCCATCTCTTTTTTCATTGCTTCCTCCCACTTACTTTTTTCTTCTAGGGGTAGCTTAAGTATGTCATCATATGTGTTAGGAGTCAGGTGTTTAGCTTGGATAGACAGTACGTAATCATCTAATCTTTTAGGAATTATGCCCCTATTGGATCTAATGGGCCTATTCTGGGGATGTTCATCGCTATGCATATACTTAGCTTCTTTTTCGGTTAATTGATCTACTTTCAAAGTGGGGTGTCCTTTTTTCCATTCATCATTAACTATTACTGGGCATTTGATTCTGTTAGTAGATGTGGATTTGGGGTTCGTATCTGATGTGTGATGTTTTGCGTGCGTGTGTGTAATATTTTTTGATTCTGGGTAAATTTCATTGAGATGTAATTTTGACCAGTTCATGTGTTCATGAAACACGGCAGATCTGGATACAATGAAGTGATTATTTTTATCAATGAAGCGATATCCCTTGGTTCCTGATTCGTACCCCATAAATATCAGTCTTTTGGATACTTTCTCTCCTTTGCGTCTTAACTGTGAGGGCACATATACATCAGCAGATACACCAAATACGTGTAAATGCCCAATTTTTGGTTTCCTTCCATACATGAGTTCGTATGGGGTCTTATTGATTGTACTGGACCATAAGCGATTTATAGTGTAATTGGAATAATTAAGGGCTTCAGCCCAGAATGACTGGTTTAAACCAGCATCATCTAACACACATTTAACCATGGTTTGTAGCAAACCATTCTTCCTTTCAGAGACTCCATTTTGGAATGGGGAAAATGGACAAGATTTAAAGTGCAATATTCCTTGTGATTTTAGCCAAATTGAAAATTCGTTGGATAGGAATTCCGACCCCCTGTCAGTCATTATTTGTTTGATTTTGGTATTGTATTGTGTTTCTACCATTTTAAAGAACTCCTTAAATTTTTTGAAAACCTCACTTTTGTGGTTAAGGGTGTATACAAAACCAAATCTACTATAGTCATCGACTATGGTCAGGAAGTATCTTTTTTTGTATTTAATTGAAGGTTTTAATGGGCCTACTACATCCATATGAATTAGTTGAAAGGTTGATTGTGTGGTGCGGGTGGCTTTTTTGGGTTTTGGCTTGTTTTTAATTTTGGAAGAATTGCATACAGAGCATTCTAAGTAATTTTTACAGTTCTTTATTTTTAAATCTTCGGAACACTCTAACATTTTTCGTATGACTGGAAAGCTCGCGTGTCCTAGCTTTCTGTGGAGTAAGTGACTACAATTATCGTGAATAGGTTTTCCATTGTTTAAATTTTCAGACATATTAGTATCAGTGTTTGATGCATTCTTATCATTATTTTCATCATGGCTATCTGAATTTGGTTTTTTGTTTCTTAATTGATAGTTTGCATAGACTAGTTCGTTATCTTGTGGCAGTAGGTATGTTAGTCCATCATTTGTAAATAGTTTACCTATGTTTCTGTTGTTCTTAGTCATGAATACCTTTCCACCTCTGAAAGTGGTTTCTATTGCATTGTCTATGCTTAACTTTAGGGTTGCCAATATGTTATTTGGAATTTCGGGCACAAATAGTACCCCCTCTATTTTTCCTATACCTTTTATATGCGTGTCTCCTATTCCTCTCACTAGGACTCTATTTTGGTTTGCTACTTTAATATAATATTTCTTTTCAGTGAAGTTACTTAATATTTCTCTATTATGAGTTGTATGGCATGTGGCTCCTGAATCTATGAGCCAGGTGTTAAGTGAATCAGATATCAAAGTGTTATTATTTCTTATTCCATATAGTGATCCTTTCTTATTTTCTCTAGGGTTATTTCTGTATGTTTGTCTTTCTCTAGAGTGTGGTGATTCTCTTCTCTTATACCTGTAATCTGGGGAGGTTCTGTCTAAAAAGTGTATTCTTCTATCCTTGTGTTTATATGAGTCACTGTATCCTATATTCTTGGGACAGTCTCTACTCTGATGTCTTTCAGATCCACATGTGAGACATTCATGTGGGTATCTGTCTCTGGCCCTGAAATCAGTCCTTCTTTGATTTCTACCCTTCTCTTTGTTGTG